CAACCGAACATCGCGAGGATGCCCTTGGTGTGCCAGCCGTTGTCCTGCTCGTGCGTACCGGCCGGCAACCCAGAGAGGTCGGTTGCCGAAGGGTGTCCAGCGGCGTTGCCCGTCACTTGCCAGCCGAGCGCTTTGCAGTTCTGTTGGAGCTGCGCGGGCGGGCCGAGCGTTTGGGCGCGCTCTTGTGCTTGCATAGGCGCTTCGGTGAACGTGACTGCCAACCCAGCTTCGAGATGCCATTCGATATGGCCTGTGAAAGGAGTGCGGTTAGGCTCACGGCTCCTTCTCACACCAAGGCAGATTCGGAGACTCACAATGGAAGAACCAAGCGCCAGGGTTGTCAGCCGTCACGCGAAGGGTGACGGAGCCCATGGACGGGATTGCGACGGTGTCCCGGCGAGACGGGTTTGGCAGGCTTGAGTTGAGTGGAGGGTTCAGTGTCGGGTCATCCGAGGTGTAGTCTTCAGCGCGATTGATGAGCTGCATCTTGTGTCCGTGCAAATGGCTATCGGACGATTGCGATCAGTATTCTGAGATATCACGCGAGATAAGGGAGGTGAGACTGACAAGGGATGCTTTCCGGCATCGCCGTTCTTTACGACGATGTCCACGGTGCTTAAATGGTCGAGCACAAAGTTGGAGTGTCCGTACGCGGAGGCGACAGTGGCGTTAGTGCCCAAGGTAAGCTCCGAGAGCACGGTGGGGACGAGAGGTGCGTCGTAAGAGATCAAGTTGAACTGAGGAATGCATTAGCTTTTCGCCCGACGATTCGCTGATTGTTCTCTCACCATAGCCCGGTTGGTGCCGTCGTTGACGGTGTCAAAGAGGACCTCGAGCTCGATCGTCTTGTCCGCTGGGCCCATGGCCGGTTGAACCTCGACGGGTACCAGCTCGATATCGGGCACGTCGTGGAAGTCGTCGATGGTCGTGCTTGTGAGGGGTGCGTTAACGTCGTAAGTGATCTGAGCAGTCACATCTAGAGCACGGTTTGAGCAAGAAGCCTCCAACGTTGAGGTGGGTTATGATACTCACTAGGCATCAGTGAATCCGGGATAGTGTCGAACATAGTCGTGTCGAAGTCGGCGTGGACGGCAAAGTTGGCGGTCGTATCGTTGCGGGCCGTGACGAGGATCGAGTAGCGCTGCGCGACGGCGATGTTGATGACGTCGATGTCAAACGGCTCTACGTCGGTACCGTCGACCTCGACGATCTTCATGTCGTGTCCATCAATGTAGAAGTACGAGGCGGCGAACGCTCCAGTGTTGACGATACGCAGGCGGTAAGTTTTTCCAGGTTGGAAAGGCAAGGTCGCATTCTCGTTGAAACCGACAGCAGCCGTAGCTCCGGTCGGCGACGTGCCGGAGAGCGGAGCGAGGTAACTTGCGTTTTGCGCGAAGTAGATGAGGCCGGAGTCGGGAACGGGCTCGGCGCCGCCGGGGTTAGCGATGCTGATGAACTCTTTGATCAAGCTGCTGTGTTGGTCGTGGTACCAGTCGCCGAGGATAACGGTCTTCGAGAATGTCAGCGAGTGTTTGGGCGTGTCAGTTCGCTGGACATACGAATTCCTCATCATACTTGTACGTCTCGTTCAAAGCGTGGATGACTACAGGCGCGCGCATGCCGTCGACGTAGTGTCCCTAAGAGGAAGGTCAGCTGGGTTCCTAGCAGCGCCAAAACAGAGTCGTACGCCGTCGTGTGCATGCCACCAGTATGTGCCAGTTTGGCCGGAGGTGTTGACCGCAACTTCGTATGTGAAGTCACCGCCTGGAGGAATACCGCTAACAAATACGTCAGCGACTGTGCAATTATCCGATGGGGATACAAAGCTTACCACTCGGACACCCCGACAGCGCCGTCGTACCAGGACGTCGAGTTGAAGAACATGCCGTGGTGATGGATCGAGGCATATTCGGTGAGAGAATTGTGGGCGTGAACGATGAGGTAGTCGTCCTCGTTGACGTCGATTGGCGGCGGCCTGGGCAGGTTGTTACCAAGTTTGTCCGCGCGCAAGGGTAAGTAGGAAACACATACGGCCAGGTTCCATTGATGCCGACGGCTTTGCGTCCGAAGAGACCGTCTGGATTCACGTCCTCGACGAAGGTGATGTTCCACCACAGCTCCTTGACTGCGGCAAGGGCAGGCGATGCTGCAAGAGCGGCCGCAAGTGCAAACCGGAGAGACCTCATTTCGAGCCAACAAAACGGGGCCTGGAGAGGCGCTGGCGAGAATGGTGGCGCCGAGGAAATGGGGGGCGGCAGAAAGGGTGAGGCATTTTACGCCGCGATATATATACGCTTCAAGGAGCCGACTGCACGGATAGCTTCTAGACTGACCGTAGACGGCGGGGCGATGGCAGTCTAGGGAAGATTAAGGGATCAATTCGGTATCTGATAACGAGAGATCACGGCGCGTGGCATCAATGCACCCGCGGTGTGAGCGCAAAAGGACGGGCGATCGAATGGGAAGCGGCGGAGCATACCGTTCTTGTGAGAGGATGGGTGCGAAGAAGCGACGACGCAGACACCATCTGCTTTCACCATACGACTGGACAGAGAGTATGGAGCATGCAGTGGAGGCCACACGAGCGAGCATCGTCGCGCTGGGAGATAGGCGGCCGCATTTAGCAACGCGCGCTCAATGCGCCAGCGACCGCACCGGCCACCGCCACCCGCCTACAGAAGGCGGCCAAATATGGCCACCCGTACCGAGCAAAACGCTAAAGCAGTCGGAGACCGTGCCATCTGCTGCTCCTGTCCGCCTGGTGATCCGAAGATCGACGCGCGCCCCAAGATGGATGCGAGAGGCAAGGCGCTCTGCGGCCGCCATGTCCGGATGACCGGCATAGGGCCGCTGCCGATATTGACCAGCGCCACCAGCATCTACTGCAACTTGGGCTTGACTCCCGCAAGCCTTTCGCTGGACGAAGGGCCAGCAGACGAGTTGGAAGCACAGGACATACGAATCCCCTTCTTCTGGTAGAGTTGAATCGTTCTTCCGTTCCCATATGCAAATATTCCGTTCTCAGCATGACATCCAATGCACACAACATTCAGGTCCCATGTGAGCCTCTCACCCTCCGCAACGCTGTATGGGAATGTCACTTTGTGGATGGCCAGACCGTACGACCGAGTGCCATATCTGATATGCAGATAAGATCCAGAGCGCGATGAACGTTCCCATCGCACCGAACTCTATCTGCGGCGGGTCGGCACGGCACGGCACCTTCGTAGAAGCGGGTCCTTCAAGATGGTCTTCGGCAGTCGACTCGGTGTATATCATCGTAGGGAACCGTACAGCGTGCCTCCATAGCGTCGTTGACAGGTAATTCATCATGATGATGGCGAATTGGTGGCCGGAAGTACAAATTCCTAGAGTCGGCCGGTATGCGCGTCGGGTGGAGGAGATCGGTGTGACTATGGACTAGTAGAGGGGTACACAACTCTCTGTATGTGTGTTCTCAGAGTAAAGCAAGGGCTGGCTTGGAAACGTCGCCTTGAACGCAAGCTGGATTTTGATTTCGCCGCGCCGCCGGAAGAGCACCCATCTGGCTTCGGTATGAGCCTCGGCTTTGCAACGAAGACATAAGACCTGTCATGAAGTCTTGGATTCGTCCAATAAAGCGCTCAGCGCTGTCGGCGAGTGCGTAGTGGTGAACCTCTCATCCCTGCGCGTACATACACCGGTGGCACTGGACCGAGAGAAACTTAGGCTGCATTCTGGACCCTCTGAGGATATGTTACGATTACGATTGAGGGCGGCTACCGGAGCGACACGTAGTCACGGGAAGACGCCGAGATTGAGGGTGTCTGGTGATGGCAACCCTAACCCTATGTAGTGCGCATAACACGCCTATTCTCCCAAATTGTTCATGCATACATATCTCCATACTGTGACGGGACTCCGAGTCCGACGCTGACGTACTATCGTTGATAATCGCGGGAAATGCTTGTTTGGAGAATGACATATGCGCATATCTATCAATCTTGCATCGATGTATGCAGGATGATCCATCGCGCAGATGTTGTGCACAAGCGCCGTCTGTTGAGACGTAGGGCGCGCACGCTGACTGTACATGTTATGCTGGATGCTCCATGGAGGTAGGACTTGCGTCCTGAGCGACCCGCCTGGGTCCCGTGAGATCGTGCTGAGAAATGTATTCTTGATGCGAAAATGATAGGTAACGGCTGTCTCCTGTTGTCTCATGCACCAGGATGGCCGATTGAGTCGGACCTGGAGACGTCCTTACCATTCACGTTCCTTCGATATGGATGACTTGCTGGCGACGAAGCTGTCAGCTTTGCAAGCGCATGACCGATGAATTGTTGTGATTGTACTTCTAATCGTGATGCACGTTGCGGGAAGCAACCGCAAGGTGCACCCTGCGCGAGAGAACCGCACTTCTTCGGGAGAAACCGTCGCCCGAAACGGCATGAGCGTCTTCCAGACTATCGATGATATGTCAGCACGGCACTAACGCATGTGTGAAGGTGGAGGACGGACCAGTCAAAAGGAAAGGATGTGATGTTGCGCTTCGTCCAGCACGCACTCATAGCATCGCCCATCCATCGCCACCTACACGCACGAACCATCATCACGATGTCTGAGCCCATCACTTTCTACGATATGCCGCACAAAGGCTTCGAGCAGGCCTCCGAGTCCGAGAACTGCTGGAGCCCAAATAAGTGAGATCGACAGCAATCTATCACGTATGGCATAGGAACTAACAATCTTCATAGTTGGAAGTGAGTGTATCTTCTTGTTGACGTCGTAGCTCATATGCTGAGCGCATCGTTCGCAGAACACGGTACGCCACTGACAAATGTCTATTGATTACTCGTGCTGACCTCGCCCAGCTATGCGTTGAACATCAAGGGTCTCAAGTACAAGACGGAGTGGCTCGGTTTCGCTGCAGTCGAACCCAAGATGAAGGAACTCGGTCTCGGTGCACACGCCTCCGGCGCGATCAAGTACACCGTGCCGACGATCTACGATCCCAAGACGAAGAAGGTCGTCACGGAGTCGTTCGAGATCGCCAAGTACCTCGATGAGGCTTACCCGGACACGCCGCGCCTCGTCGCACCGGGTACCGCTGGCCTGCAGCAGGCTTTCCTGGAGAAGGTCGCCGGCCCGTTGATCGGCGCTGCGTTCCCGATCATCTGCTTCCCGGTGTACGAGAAGTGCTGCATGAACGAGGCCGACGAGAAGCTGTTCCGCACGACGCGCGAGGCCTGGTTCGGCGGGAAGAAGCTGGAGGACATCGGGCCGAAGGGCGAGGCGCTGGCCGAGGCGTGCAAGGCGTTCGGCGGGCAGCTCGACGGCATCGCCAAGATCGTCGCCGCGAACGGCTCCAGCTCCGTCTTCATCGGCGGCGACGCGCCGTCTCACTGCGATACCGCGGTAGGAGCCATTTTGACCTGCGTCTTGAGGATCCTCGGCAAGGATGGCGAGCTCTCCAAGGTCATTCTGGGTCACGAGTGGGCGAGCAAGTTCTTGCAGGCAATGTCCAAGTGGGAGTAGAAGGGTTTTTCATCACGAATGTACCCAACAATATATAGTGTACTAAAGTCGACATGGAAGCTCAGTATTGCGCGAGACCACGTAAAGCGTGTGACACACCATGATACAACCAGGACCGACTACCACTCCCCTGCAATCCTCACCAGCTCCGTTCTCTGTTGTTTCGGATACCTCGTCAAGAGGATTCGTGATGTGCAGCAAACATCGTGGTGGTCGATGGTAACAAGCGCAGGGACGCCGTTCTCAGCCGTAGGCCATCGTTACCCACGCCATGCACTTTGTAGGTGGACCACCATGAGGGAGCTACCCTTCCAATGTACAAGCTGAACAATGCATGTGCATGATCCCTGTTACGTACTCGCGCTGCTCAATGCTACAAAGTTGTACCTACTTGCGTACAGCTCAGTTCTCATGCTCACCAACATTCGGCCTTGTCTCCGGCTCTCCAGTCGTTCTCCCGCCACATCGACTCGGAGAACAATATAATGCATTGCTCGTGAAGCATGCGAACTTCGACGCTCACAACGCCAAGCGTGTCTACGGCGTCCCTCTACTACATCCTATCCTACGGTGCATCTCCCGAGGTTTTACGTCTGATCAGTGCAAACTGCACCACCTCATATGAGCCATCGACATGATCAGGTCCTCAGGAACTTCCTACGTTGAGCGCGAGCGATCGGAGTCGGCAAACGCACTCTTTTCCCGACCAATAACGGCGATAAGTGAGGCGTGAGAATGACTGTACAGTACAAAAGGGCGTACGACACAAGAGCTGTCGCAGAAACATCTTGCTTCTTGATCCCTCGACGTCGCGATGCCCCAACCAATCGTCCTTTACGACCTGATGCGTCAAGTGCCTGGAGGCCATTCTGACGCCGAACAGTCCTGGAGTCCGAATACGTGAGTTGTTTCCCAGTCCTTCCTCGTCCAAGGCGGAACTGATCATTTGTGCAGGATGAAGTAAGTGTCATTGGTTCAATCCCATACTTCTATTCGACTGACGACTCGCGACCCCGTAGAACTCGGTGGGTCGGTATGACAGTCTTGCACCTATGCGATCCACAACGCCGTCTCGCAGGTATGCCCTGAACATCAAAGGCTTGCAGTTCAAGACCGAGTGGATTGGATTTGGCGCCGTCGGGCGCAAGATGAAGGAGCTAGGCCTCCCGCCGCACCCAGACAGCTACCCGGGTCCCAAGTACACCGTTCCAACTATTTACGACCCCAACACCGACAAGTATGTCACCGAGTCGTTCGCCATAGCGAGGTACCTTGACGAAACCTACCCGGACACTGCTCGTCTCGTCGCGCCCGGCACTGCCGGCTTCCAGGTCGCTTACGTCGAGAAGATCGCCGTGCCCCTCATGTACTTGACGATCCCGGCCCTAGGCTGGCCGGTGTTCGAGCAGTGCGGAGTGAGCGAGGAGGACAAAGAGCATCTCCGCAAGTTGCGTGAAGCGGCCTTCGGGAGGAAGGTTGACGACGCGGAGTATAAGGACCTGCATGCGATGATGAAAGTCCCAGATATGAACGGCCCTCTCGACATCCTTGCCCGTCATGTTGCCGCGAATGGCGCAAACGCGTTGTTCCTCGCGGGGGACAGTCCTTGTCACGCTGATACGGCGATCGCTTCTGTGTTGGTCAGTGCACTCAGGATCCTTGGGATGGAGGGTGAGCTCTGCGAAGCCATCCTGCAGCACAGCTGGGCAGGGAAGTACGTGGAGGCGATGTCGAAGTGGGAATGAAAGGTCCGCGTCTGCTGTCGAGAAAGTGCATCGTATTTTGAGTGCAAACATTGTATTTCGTAGACTCACGCCCCGCGCTGTTCTTTCTGAGCTTGGACTCCTCGGGCGAGCTCTGTAGGATGATTATACTTGAACCATTCGACGGCAAACCGTCATACGCCTGGGCGACACAGATTGAATACCATTATGCAAAGTTGGATCCAACAGAATATTAGTACACATTGAACACGCAAACACCCTCTTGAGCTCAAGGGATGCGCCACATCGCGATCCCCGCACGGTCTTTGTCCACCTTCTTCCGCGCCTCTGAGCTCTCACCACTCTTGATAGCCCCAGCGACAAGCAATTCGACAGCCTTCCGCAGTTCCGTACGCGCTTCCTTCTCTTTGATGTGATGACCCTTCTCTTTCTTCGCGTGTGAGGAGGCCTCCTCTGCGGATGCCTGCGCTTTGGTCATGAACTTTGGTCGGTTCATGCGCTTCCAGTCGACACAAAGTTCCAAGAACTCAGTCAGGACGCTGACCACGCCTTCGAACTCGTGCAGCCCTTCCTCGTCAGTACGATTCTCCGGAAGCTTGACGTTCCAAAGCTGCGAGAGCGTAAAGGTGTCCCAGGCAAAGAGCGGCGCTCCTTCCTGCACCGGAAGCGCGATGGACGGGCAGCCGTTGAGCAGCTGGTAATACATCACGCTCTCCTCCGGGCGGGCGCTTGTTGACCAGATCTTTCGATGAGGCTTGATCCCAACAACACAGACCACCAACCTTCGCGGCTCGGGCTCTTTCGAGCTGGCAGCAGACGGTGGTGGTGGTGTTCGAGCGCGTTTGAGCGCACCCTTGACATCTCCTGTTGTTGGTAGTTTGGGTACGTTGACGCCAAGGAACTTCGAGCGCCCGTCATCTTCGGTGTCATTGCCGTTCTTCCCAGCCTGCTCTTGGGCCGTATCGGCGCGCTCATTGTCAGTGGTGTCGGTGCCCGCGACCCGGGTGAATGCTGTTCCCTCGAAGATAATCGCAGAGGCGGAGTGATTCAACAGAGTTTGTCCGATCTTGTAATCTCCTAGATGCGAAGCGTCAGCATTTGAGGAACTGTGCTAGACACGTGGTCCGTACCACGTAGGAAGGGGCCGTGGGCAAATATAATGTCGGGATTCATCGACCGTGGGATGACCGGCCGACGAGCGCTCGCGAATAAGTACGGGTTCATCCATCCTTCGAGTCATGTGAGTATCGTCAGAAATATGTCAATAGACAGACACAACTAACCCTTTGATACCGCCAGATAGTCTTTCCACTTCGCATTTGACTCGGCGAACAACGACGAGTCTCTAGATGCGCTCGCGTCAACGCGATGTCTTCGCAAGGTTCAACGTCGCAGCTCACTCATGCAAACTACTGCGGAAGAAGCCAAGAGCTGCATCTCCGGTAGTATGCTTGTGCTCAAGCGTGATAAGCAGATCTTTCACAGCCGACGTCACCAGCACTTTCTCATGCCTGGTCACTGCCGCGATAGGATCTTCAAATACTTTGTCGTCGGCCAGGTTCGTCGCTAGCTCGAATCCCGCTTGCCCAGCGAGCTCAAGCAACGTCGAGCCCCCGCCCATCATGCCCTCGCCAGCCAACGATGCCAAAGGTTCAAGCGCGGGTCCTGCGATAGCGGCGGTCCCTCCCTGCGGCGTAGATCAGAGTTGAGTGTAGAGTCCATGTAGACTATGTTGAGGCTTAACCTACCGTCGCCGCGACAACACCAGAAACTACCAAGTCTCGGAACCGGATACATGGGATCAGGACGGGAGAGTTGTCTCCCCACTGTGTGGGTGTATGCATCAGAATGGAACATCGGTTCAGCGAAGATGGATACATACCGGTGATAAACAGATAACGTTCGTGCCACTTGCTCGCAGTGATTCAAGCGTACTAGTGACGACACGACCGGTCAAAGACTAGATCACATCCCGACGTCAGTCAAGTACGCCAGTACGAGTAAGAAGTTCAAGCACCCACCCCCGCCAGTTTCCGGACCATCCACGGCGAATCCTTCTCTTCTTCAGAAGCCGAAATGGTGCGCGCGTCGACCGGTGCCAGAGGCGATTGATCTTTGTCTTTAGGTGACATAGCCGCGTGTGGGGTGATGTTGAGGTTGCTGAGCAAACGCGAGAGGTGCCCTGAGCTTCGCTGATATATGCCACTGGGTCGAAGGTGGGGAAAGTTAGTGGGCCATCG